GTGGGGAGCCCTGACCCACTGTGGGGGGGGTGGGAGCAGCTAGATGCCCAGATCCTTCCCATGCTCGGGGGAAGGAAGTGAAGCCCCATGTTGGCGCCATGAGGCCTGATGATGGGTGCCCCCTGCTTATGGAAGGGACCTGGGACCCCCAGTTATGGTGCTCAGAGAGCTGGCTTCCCTCTGTGTGTTCATTTGGGTCTGTGGGGGGAACGGGAGCTCCTCTCACCCCTTCCCCCTCTCTTGCCCCATAGCACTGCCCCACATCGGAGCCTTCAGCATCCACCCGGTCCCACATCGGGTCCTGACCCCCGGCCAGGGCCGGAGCTTCGGGCACCAGGTGTTGCCACTGGATGGGGCCCGGTAGGAGATAGGGGCCCTGAACACCTGAATCCCCCAGTTGTGGGGCCCCCCTGACCCCAGGGATCGGGGGTCCCGGGTGGCTGGGACGCCCTGACCCCACCCCTCTCTCCAGAGTGCTGGTGGGGGCCCCGGCAGAGGTGGGAGATGGGGGGCAGCTGTTCCAGTGCTCGGTGCAAAGTGGGGAGTGCCAGAAGGTGCAGCTGGAAGGTGGGAATGGGAACATTAGGAGGGATTGGGGTGCCATTAGGAGTGGGTGTGGGGTGAAATTAGAGGTGGGGATGGGCTGGGATTACAGGTAGGGTTGAAGTGGAATTAGAGGTGATTTGGGTGATATTAGGATGAGAGTGGGGTGGGGGTGGGTTAGAGAGAACTGGGAGTGGGTGGGGTTAGAGTGGGGTGAGATTAGGGTGGGATTGGGATGGGATTAGGGATTGGATTAGGGTTGGGGGTGGAAGGGATTTGGAGATGGGTTTTGAGTGGGAGTGAGGTGGTACTGGCGTGGGATTAGGGTGGGATTAGGGTGTGGGTGGGGGTGTGGGTGTGGGTAAAGTGGTTTTAGGGGTTTGGAGTGGGGACAGGATTAGGGTGTGATGAGGATGAAATTATAATAGGTGGTGGGGTTGGGAGGGGGTGGGGATGAGGTGTCATTTAAAATGGGGGAGGGGTAGGATTAGGGCAGGATCGAGTCTGGATTAGGATGAGATTGGGACAGGATTAGGAATAAACCCCATCCCCAGGGAACAGCACCCGGACCCACATAGGAATGGCCTTGGCCCGGGATGGTGATATCACAATCGTGAGTCCGACAGTTTCCCCACCCAGGGGAAGGGGGGCCCATCCCACCCCCCTTCCCCTCAGCTCCACCCCTTGCCCCTTTCTTCCCCCTCCCCAGGCCTGTGGCCCCGGCTTGACCCATGTCTGCGATCGCAATGTCTACACGAACGGGGTCTGTGTCCTGCTGGACCCCCAGCTGAGAACATGGCAGGAGCTGATGCCTGGATACCAAGGTGAGGAGCCCGCCCCAGAGATGGTCCCCCACCCCATGGAGAACAGGGTCACCTCATGGCTGACCCATGGTGGCCATGATGCTTGACCCTGGTGGTTGACCTGTGGTTGACCCAGGGCTGACCCATAGGGACCATGGTTGACCCATGGAGGCCATCATGGACCCACAGTGACCCTGACTGACCCATGGGGCCATTGAGCCATTCCCTGTGCCCCCCCTACCCTGGTGCTGACCCCCCAGTGGCCCCCCCTGACCCCAGGCTGCCAGCGGGGCCCGGTGGACCTGGTGTTCCTGTTCGATGACTCCAGCAGCATGAGCACCTCCCAGTTCAAGGCCATCCGGGACTTCATGGTGGATGTGATGGAGAAGCTGCAGAACACCTCGATCCATGTAC